GTTTTCCTTTGAGTAGTGAAAGGAGGGCAAAACGAAGGGGGTGATCTAAGAGGATGACGATGATGACAAGATAAAAATAAAAAGAGTGAAAAAGTTTACTACATGTACTTGTGGAGAATAGAGAAGATTTTCAGTTTGTTTGATTGTTTGTTCAGGTCCGCCCTCTCCATTATTGTTTCCTCTGTATCGTTGTGTCGGCCAACATCCATACGATGGACAAAGTTCTTGGGTGAGTTCAGCCCCCCTGTAATGGATGATATATCTGGACCACGTCCCGTGTTCTACCCGGGGGTTGTCGTCGATGCGCACTAACAAAGAGGTAGGTAGGTATTCCAGGGCGAACTTTCCCGTCGTCTTGTCTTTCTTCAGGATGTCTTGCCAAGCGGCAGACTCTCTAGCTTCCAGTGAAGTGTTCTTTCCCAAGACGCGGAATTATCATGATACTTGCCCTACTTGACTGGGTATATAACAATATCTATTTGTCCTCTGTTTGGTTTGGGGGATGGGTGTCGTGATGTACAAGAGACGGATAGGTTCGTTTCTTCCAGTGAGATTCCCACTCCCGCGCTTACTTACAAAGCTTAGATGTCCTCTACTGATGCCATCACTCATCAATCTCGTTTCTATATGACAATGGTAGAGTAAGAGATCTGGAATTACAACACGGGATGACATGAGCATATCTGCCGGACGGGAATGACAGTCATCACCCGCCATGGCAGTCTCTTCGTGGAATACATACAGGGCGGTTGTTTACTAAGAGCAAAGGTACCTACGTTCATCATCTTACCCATAATCACAACACCAAGCCTAATATTTCACCTTTACATTGAGTCATTCAATTTTAGTTCACATCTTAGTGGTGTTGTATCAACAGATTCGTAGAGCTTACATGGATGTGTCGAAACAATGGCCTGTTGCTCTTGGGAAGAGGTGATCCCACTTCCTGCAATGCAGATAGCAGCAAGCAGGATGCTTCCGATCACAGCACCATCAGTGCTTCCCGATACACACCCGAGGTTGACATGTTTTCCATGTGCCAACACCTGTCTCGGCGGAGGACGGGAAGTCAAGCTTGCGAGGAGGGCTCCCGCACCCCTGACCTCCCAACACCACCTCTGTCAGCCCATCTCGGCAGCCCAGCCTTCCATCACTTTGTGATCGACATTGTGTTGACACTTGGTATTCTCCCCCCATTTCTGACAGCAGATAGATACACAAGCGTGAAACAAGTGTCTTTCCTCTTCTTCTTTTTCTTCTTCTTCTTCCTCCGTTACTTCTCCCCTTCCCCTCCGTGGGGGGAAATTCCCGGTTCCCTCTCGATGCCCTGGCTGCATCTCTAAGTATTTGGTTGACATAGCTTGAATGATTACGTTTGGCCCTCGATATAGCTTTCTTCTCGCAACTGACTCGGCGAGTCGTCTACGGCGGGCAGGTTCAGATCCACCACCAGCCAATGCTCGAAAAGAAGAAGACGCCCGTACCCTTCAACAGTTGACCGCCAACGCCAGAAGCACCAAGTTGAACCACCCCGGGGGAATTGACAAATCTGACGACCTCTTTGGTGGTATCAATCTCAGCAGCAGCAGCAGCAGCAGCAGTACCGATATGCCTGGCTGGAGGTATGCCTTTGCTTTGTCCAAAGATGCGGTCAAAGCCGCCACCCCGCCGGGGACCGTCGTGAGGCTTGTTGGTATGTATGGTACTTTCCTTACTTATACACCCCCCCCCCCATCCAGTTCGCTTCATCCCTTCTTACTCTACCTTCGTTACTGCCCGTCACTTCCCCCCCACCTGATCAATGACCAAATTACGACTGACACCCCCTGACCGCCGCAAGAACATACCCATAACCATAACCATACCCAACCACCACAGCAAATCGACTACACCCAATTCCCTATCCCCACCTCCGACCCTTCCGACCCTCTCAACTGGGCCCGATGGCGCAAACTCTCCTGTCTCTGCAGCCTCTGCTACTACGCCTTTGTCTGCTCCTTTGCCTCCGCCTCGCTCGCGCCCGCTTTAGGTGTATGGAACGTATCCTTTCCTTCTGATGCACGAGGAATCGAAGAACTCAGTCGGTTGACTTTTCTGAATGTCCTCGTGCTGGGACTGGGTAATATCTTTTTGGTGCCGCTGGCGAATGCGTATGGGAGGAGGATCGTGTTGGTGGGGAGTGTGTTGATGCTGTTTGTTGCGACGGCTTGTGGGACGCGAGATAATGGGATTCAAGGAAAAGAAGGGAGGAGGGGGATGATGTATGAGGGCATGTTGGTCATTAGGATCTTTCAGGGGTTGGGGAGTAGTGTGTCGGAGACGCTGGGGCCGGTGGTGGTGGGGGAGATGTTTTTTGTGGGGGAGAGGGGGAGGTGGATGGTAGGTCTTTCCTTTTTATTTCTCGAGAAAGAAAGAGAGCGAGAGAGAGATGGGATATTGGGAAAGTTTATAAATGATGCTGATGCTGACGACCTACCTAGGCTCTGTATACCGCTTCTTTGGCCGGCGGATCGGCAATAGGAGGGATATGCGGAGGATACATTTCCACGAGATACGGATGGTTCGGTATCTTATGGGTGACTGCCGCTTTGACAGGAGTGGCGTTGCTGGCAATGGTGTTCTTGGTTCCGGAGACGCTGTTTGAAAGGGGCCCCCCGTTGTGTTTCCCGGCGATTGCAGCTGCTTGTCGGAAAGAGAGGCATAGACATCGACATGGACAACATCGAAATCACCACCACGACATCGCGGAGGAAGAAAAGGAGATTGACGGTGGTGCTGATGGTGATGGGCAATACCGCCACAGTAACCGAAGATCGAGCGTTCGACGATATTACTACCAACCTACTCGCACACCGTATCTCAGCTTGGGTACATTACCGTCCATACGAATGACGATGCCGTCGCGATTCATCACCTCGGTCTATACCCCGCTGAACATCAATACAAACCAACCTCAGTACTTCCGAGACTACTGGGATCCACGACTGGGGCTGACTTGGTACGAAACAGCCTCGGAGTCGGAGGATGAGGATGAGTCTGAGGAGGAGAGGTTCTCGATGGGTGGTCACGGGAGGGAGTCCTCATTGCCAACGGTTCTACGGCCGCCACCACCTACAGCAACAGCAGCAGCGCAAGGAGGACGAGATGTGGCTGCCGGTGGTCTTTTGCCTTCGGGAGGAATCGCAGCACGACGATCCACCGCCCAAAGGCCTCGCTACCGCCTCTTTCCTCCTTCCGAGGTTGACATGCGTCCAATCCTGTGCCACGAACCGGCACCACCCCGGAGAGACACTAACGACCATCTAAATCACTTCTTCACCCACGGCGGCGCTTTCGTTCCCCCTTTCAACAATGGTGGCAACTCGGTCTTTTCCTCCATTCCTTCCTCACAAGATCCATCCACCACCCACTACGAACCCTACACCTACCTCCGCTCCCTCCGCTTCTTCATCTTCTTTCCTCCACGCCAGCGGCCGCCTCCACCCCACACCCCTTTCGACCTCCCGTTTCCCGAATCCCCTCCTTCCACTTACCAGTACTCCCCCCACAATTTCAGTCCCGACCCCAATTTGCATCCCAACCCCAACCCCGTTTTCCGTCCCAATCCTACTATCCTTAAACCCTCCTTCTTCCATTTTGACTCCCCTTCCTCTTCAAGTCCCACCCAGATACTCCCCTTTCCCTTCCCTGGAACAACAACCCCCAAATCCCTCTGGCGCCATTTTTTGTCTCCCATCCTGACCCTCCGTCTCCCAGCCGTCTGGATCGCCACATTACATTCCTCCCTCTTAATCGGCTCCGTCTCCGTTTTATCCACACTCGGACCTTCACTGTTGGCTTCATCGCCTTATTACTGGACTCCAGACCATGCAGGGGCGGTGTTATTTGGTGGGTCGGTGATGGGGATCATGTTGGGGGGACTGTATGTATTTGTGGTGGGGGATGAGAAGATGAAAGGGGGGGTTGCTGGTACCTCGGAGGGAAGGGCTAGAGGGGAAGGAGGGAGAGGGGGAGGGGCAAGTACAAGGGGGGAGAGACTTGGAGGAGGGGATCAGGGACTAGGGGGAGGAGGAGGGGGAGGAGGAAGCACTAGGAGGGGAAGGGGAAGTAGCAGTAGGGGAAGGACAGGGGAGAGGGGAGGAAGGACAGGTGGGAAGAAAATAGAGAGAATCAAAAGCTGGGGGGAGAGGTTATTTGGCAGCGGGAACAATGACTACGGGTATGCAGAGGCGGAAAGTAGGTTGATGGTTGCGATGCCGGGGTTGGTGATTGCCACGGCCGGGTTACTGGTTTGGGGGTTTTGTGGGGAATATGGACCTGCTTTGGACGCAGCTGCTGCTTCTGCTGGTGGGAATAATAGCACAAGTGGTGGAAATGGGAATGTCACGGTGGGTGTAGGACCGGGACTGGGCAGTGGGAATGGAGGAGGAGGGTATGGAGTGAATAGGTATAGTTGGCTCGGGTTGATGTTTGCATTTGGGATGGTCGGCTTTGGGATGGCTGGGGTGCCGGGGGTTTGGTTTAATTATGTGAGTCTTTCCTTTCCTTCCCATCATCATATCATTCTCCCGAGGATCCCTCATACTGAACACACAACAGCTCATTGACTCGTACGCCAACCTGGCCTCCGATTGCTTCGTCATGATCTGCATATCGCGCGGCCTTGTCCCCTTCGTCTGGACCTTCTTTGTCAGCGAATGGGTTTCGAAGCAAGGGTATCTGATCCCCTTTGGTGGGCTCACAGCGATTTTGGGCGTGCTTTCTCTGTTGTTGATTCCAGTTATCTGGTACGGGAAGAGGACGAGGATTGCTACGGCTAGGTTTGTTGTTGGGAATCAATGATGGGGTGGTGATAAGGACACGGGACACGGAGTTGGATCCAAGCCTTGGGAGCGTGGGTGAGTGTGGTTGAAGGAGAAGGTTGTTCGTGAAGAATAGTTGCCGGTAAATGATACAAAGCATGGCAGAGTCAATCATTAGTGTACATATCATCAAAGGAGTTACGCCGGGAACATGTTTATTCTTTTCTTTCGAACATTTTACTAAAAAAAACACCGCCATACTCTTAGCTGTGAACCATATGGTGAATCCTTAAACACGCGCATTTATCAAGCCAAAAGGTATCGCTCATCATGAATTGGAGCTAAAAAGGGCCTATGTCCCCCAACTGCCAGCCATATCACACTGAAAACCAAACGCCGAAAGTAGAAATAGACCACCATCCTAACTTCCCACATCCTTCGACACCGAACCCAATATAGTATTTAATTCCCCTCCGCAACCTTCATATCCACCTCCCACTCCCTCTTCACCTCGGCCGCAAACTCCTCATCCACCAGAACCCTCCACCCAACCTCCGCCATCGCCCGTCCACACTCCAACGCCCTCTCAAACGCGTCCTGTGTCCCCGCCCCCTTTGTGAACCCCTTTGTATGATTCGCCGCCCCGTCCTCCGTCTCGATGCCAAACACACCATGAAACCCCGGACACTCATAGCACACATTCCCCATATCCGTGCTCCCCTGGAAGAAATCCGCGGGATCCTCCCACGCCACAGACCCTGCCGGTTGCACGGCCTCCATCCACGCCTTGCACAACGCTTTCGATGGGCGAACATCAAAGTAAGCCGGCAAGTCCTCCTTCCGCCACTCACACCCCGTCGCTAGCGCGGCGCCCTCAAAGCATTTCAGTACTCTCTTCCCCAACTCTTCGGCGCCGCGTCTTGTGGTGCTGCGGACGTAGTACTCCACGCAACAATCGGCTGGTGTGACGTTCGGCCTTGTGCCTGCTTCTCTGAAAATACCGTGGATGCGCTCTTCTGGTCTAATCTGCTGACGAAGCATGCTAACAGCGTTATAACTTAGACAAACGGCGTCCAAGGCATTGACGCCATGCCAGGGAGCTATGGAAGCATGCGCCTCGCGACCGGTAAAGTAAACACGATACTTGACGTTGGCTAGCATGCGCACGTACGAAACAGCGTTGATGCCAGAAGGGAGTTTGGATTGTGGACCAGGGTGGGCCATCAAGCATGCATCACACCCTTTATAAGCGCCAGCCTCAATTAACTTGAGTTTACCGCCGCCGCCTTCTTCGGCTGGGGTCCCGAGGAGGCGGACTCGACCTGGTTGGCCGGACTGCTTGAGGGCCGCGGCTACACCGAGAAAGGCGGCGAGGGAAGCGGAGGCGATCAGGTTGTGCCCGCAGGCGTGGCCGATCTCGGGAAGGGCGTCGTACTCGGCGTTGAAGATGATCAAGCGGCCGCCGGAGCCGTATTCAGCCTCGAAAGAGGTGGGCAGACCGTAGGCGGGGGAGGTGATGGTGAAGCCGCCGAGGCGGCGCAAAGAGTGGACGAGGGTGGAGTGGGCGGTGAATTCGAGGTAGGCGAGTTCGGGGTTGGAGTGGATGTGGGTGTTGATGAGGGCGATTTCGGACTTGTTGGACTGGATTGCTGAGGCAATGGCCGTGGAGATGGTTGGGTCAGTCATGATTGTCTTTTGGCTATGTGATGAGAGATGGATGAGTGGTCCTTGGTCCTGTCAATGTCCAAGTGGTATGGGAATACCCCCCTTCTTGTATCGCTTCCGTTCCTGCAGTAGTCCCGTACAACTTGAGCCTCGGCCACGAACCGACCAAATCCAAACATACGGTGAAGCAGCCGATTGGACCCGCTCGCCTCGTTCTTGTCGTCGTCAACACCTAGAACATGAACAATGGCCTGATGTTGAACAAGGAAGTCTAGCCTCCCTCGCTCGCCTCGTGTCGCTCTCTCTTAGTGTACCCCGCTCCTAGGGATCGATAGCTGGGAGCCTTTCCGCACTTGTCGTCGAATGACTGCGGAAGGTGAAGCGAACTCGTGCACGCCATCTCATTGGCTTGTCCCTTGTCCTCAGCTCGGTATGGGTACCCGTTGTCGTGGGAAATTACCATGGTGTGTTTGTGTGGCCATTGTGAAAGGCGTCCTGACCATGGTCGTCGGGAATCAAAAGACAGATGCATCGTTCGAGAAATCCGAAGATCGCAATGTTTGCCAGTGCGTGGAAAAGCAAAGGCGTCTGTTTCAAGTCGGTGCTGCAAGGCGTCACCTGCAAAAAGGGAAGGCGCGAAGCGAGTGAATGCACTTGCCTTACTTTGCGCGTATGGTGTGGTGTACCTTCCATGGTTTCTGCAAACCGAGTGCAAAACCACCACCACACTTCACAATAAGCTTCTCATCACCCTTTCAACGTCCAATTCGACCGATATAAAAGAGGAAACATCAAAAACAACAAAAAGGGATCAATTAGACGTCAGGAACAGCAAAAAAAAAAAGCTGAAAAAATAAAACAAACGACGCCTGCAGGGATCGAACCTGCGCCTCCGAAGAGATTGCCTAGGTTATTACGTAATGTAATAGCAGGGCAACGCGTTAACCACTCCGCCAAAGCGCCTAGTGCTTTTTGTTGTTGAAGTGAAATGTCAATGGTTTAAGTTATATACAGCTAAAGCATAGTAAGCTGAAAGCTGCAGGATGGATGTGGATGATGGTGTGGGTATCAATGTGGGGCTGCGTATGTGGAGGGCTTGGCATGCAAACCGGCTGTGATTGCTGTTCTGGCCAAGGGGCATATTTGTATCGATGTATGCATCTATGCTCGAAGCTTTGGGTTTTTATCAACATGCTAGGTATCTTGATATGGTACTCTGATTTGATATGACAGGGTTTACAATAACTCGGAAACACATTAGCTGGAGTCTTTTAGGGATTTTGTAATCCAGGATTTACCTTGGAGTCGAGTGCAAAGGTATAATCAAGACGCTTGGATGCATGACAAGAGTATACACAAGGTCCAATGTACTGACCCTAACGCGTTCGGCAAGCCAACTAGATCTCTAAACTTGATTACTGCTCACCATGGTATTTCAGTCCTGCTGCTGTCTTGTAGATGCCTGTTCGATGACCGCGAAACCCTGGCCTTGAAACCAGTATAGCTACCTATCTGCATTGTAGCTGAGCATCGTCGGTCGAGTCGATAGAAATTTCTCAGCGTCCAACGGCAACATCATAGCCCCCTTTCGGTCATGAAACTTGATCGGGGTGGTCTCACGACAGCCATGGAACGTAGATAAATTGGCAGCGGGCATGCTTTAGGTTCGTTAGTAGCGAATATTACGGCGGCCAGGTTGATCCTATTGTAAGGTGCTGAGCAGATGTCGCGGGCATCACCAAACAGCTGACTTGAGTTTCTTTTTTCGAATCGCAATGAATGAGAGTCTTCAAATCAACATCGCCAACCCCTCAATCTACACTACACAACCCGCATACAACATTTGGCAAGTACCTTAACTCGTTTGATAGGGTAACACGGGTATCTTCAAATATCACAATGCTAGTGCATACTGTAATATTAAAGAAGAAGATGATGGAGGGAGAAAGGCCTAGCCGAAGGCCGCCCCGCACAGGAATCCCTTTATAGGAATTCCCTTATCTTATCGCTAGTCCGCAGGGTGACCTATAGGTCCAGCGACCGGGCGAGCCGGCACGTACCTTAGCACGTACCTAGGCACACCTATACCTCTATTAGGAGTAGGTATAACTATAACTATACCCAATCTACTCTAATTAATTAATTCTATTCATATATACAATATATTCCGTATTAAATTCCGGTACTATAAAGAAAAACCTATCGTCCTCGATAAAGACAATCTTATTTTCGTTTTAAAAAATACCGCAATAATTCTTCGTCCTTCCGGTCCTTCTTATTTATAAAGTAAACCTTACGTTAACCGTCCACATAGGACCGCGGGACTCCAAATTAACATTCGTCCGGTCGATACTTCTAATAATCTTCTATTATATTTTTAACCTTTCTTAAATCTTTAGTATCCTTTTGATAATTATTATAATAATTATAACCCTTCTATTTAATATAATACTAAAACTTCCCTTTAATTTATTTATATATAGTAATCTTTTTAATCTTATATTAAAGGGCCTTAGAATTTAAGCCGGAGTTAGGTTTAAAATCGCTTTATAAATCTTTAATTAGACCCGGGGGGGGAATAGCCCGGCTAAAGGGATTTTCCTCCTTAAGTACTATAATAAAATATATTACTAAAATAACGGGGTATATCTTTATATTCGGTAGTAATTCGAATTAGTAAGTAAAACAACTAACCTTTTTAATAATTTTAAAAAATCCCGAACGCTATTAAGAGGTTTTCTATAATAGGCGTCCGGATAAATAATATTCGTAATTAAATTTTAGGAATACTTTATCCCCTACTTTAAATTTTATTTACTAGTAGCTAATATTATAGCGAAGTTTAGCGTTAGCGATAATAAAATTTATAGTTAATTAAGCTTCCTAGTAAATATAATTTCGGATTATAGGGTTATTAGTAAATTAGTAAAGCGAATTAATTATTCTAATAATAATATCTAAAGGTCTTAAAAATTTATATCTAAATAGGTATTTATATAGTAATACTTTAAAATTTTCAATAAAGGCGTTATTTAAATTCTATTATAAAGAGGGGATAATTAGTAGCTAATTATAACCGAGGTTGTATATAAAAGTATAAAATCTAATTGTAATTTTAATTATTTAATTCTTTTATTTAATTCCGCTATTTCTAGAGGGGTAGTATACTATTATTATAAGTAATTTAATACCTATTACTATCTATATATTATATTAATATACTAACGTAAATTTATAGTCGCGGTTTAAAATAATATTTATTAGGAATCCCTAATCGTATAGTAATATTATATAAATTATAATAATTCCCTATTCGATAGCCGTATATATTTTATAACCAGGGATTAAGAAGGATCTCTTTAATATTTTATTAGTAATAAATATTAGGGTATTAAAGGTACTATAGTTGGGTATTTACTATAATATATTAACTATTAAGACTTTTGGGAGGCTAATAATAAAATTAATAGAAATAATTCTTATTAGTAAGGCTTCTTCGGGCCAGATTAATTAATAATTTCCAATAGGCATATTATAGTCGGTTTAATTAAATTAATATACTGGGCAATACTCTAAATATTATTTAACTAAGCGGGCCTTATTTACGAATAATATTCCCTATAGATTATATATCATACAATTATACCCAAAATAGTATTTATCGTTATAAGTAATTTCAAAATTTTTTTTAATAAATTTATAAAGGATATAAAAGTTCTTAGTTCCGTTAATTTACTAATTATAAATAAGGCCGTCCCTTATAAAGAAAGGATACCCGGGTTTGGAAAAAATAGTATTTCTATCTTCGGAAATAGTTTTACATTCCTTTAAATACTCTATAACCTTAATAAATTTCTTATTAGAGGCGTAGATAGCCGTATAAACTTTACGGACTTTAGGATCTATTTATACTTTAGAGAACACATACTATACATTATCTATATAAAATATTTAATTCTTAATCTAAATATTATTAAGGACGGGTGTACTGTTAGGGTTCTTATTACTATTAATTGTCTTTAAACGATTAAAGGTATTTAATAAAAAATTGAATTTCTTAAGTATATAGAATACTTTTAATTTATATTTAAATAGGTAAATAGAAGTATTAATTAAGCATTAGTTAATTTAATTAATTAAAATCGTTCGTAGCGAAATTTATTTTATAATACTCTTTATTATTAAGTAGTCTATTAATATTATAATAGGGCCCGAATAAATATAGAATTAAGTACGTAATTTTTTAATAGCCTATACTAAGTATACAACTTCTAATTTAGAAGGGCTATACTTTATTTCGACTTTAATAAATACTTTACTAAAAAATATAATAGAAAGGATTTAATAAGATAGTATAGTAGTTCCTTCTTACTATTAGTAATCGTTTTTAATGTAGAAGGCTATAATATTAAAACTTTACTTGAGGGAACTATTAATTTATAGAAATATTATATAATTAGGGTTTAAATAGTATAAAATAGTACTATCGTAATATACTACGTTCTATAATACTTCGAAAGCGGCTTTTTCGGCCGGGGTTAGAGAGTAATAAATTTGCGTATAGTAGGCTACCCTTCATACTAATTTTCCTACTTCTACTTTACCTATTTTATAACCTTCGGCTAAGAGTACTATTTTCCGAATTTAAAGTAATTTAACGATTTAAATATAGTACGGAATTAAGTAATATGAAAAGCCTATACTACTAATATATTACTCTAATGCTTTAAAGTTATTAAAGAAGGCTAGGTTTTTAAAAGCTTTAATACGTTTATTAGTTATTAATAGGCCGAATTTATTTATATAAAATCCTAGTAATTCTACGCTTAGGTAGTTAAAGTACGACTTTTTTAGGGATAGAACGATATTTTTACTAGTAAAAAGCGTAAAAATAGCATTTAAATATTTAAAATAGTTATTAATTAAATTTAAAGTAATAATAATATTATTAATATACACTTTATAATACTCCCTATACTCTCAGAGTAATATATTTATAAAGCGTTAAATATAAGCGGGTATATTTTTGAATCCTATTTGTACGACCGTTAGTTGCTCGAAGCTTCAATAGGTAATAAAGGTGAATTAATCCCTATATTTCTATTAAATACTAAATTAATAGAAAAAGGAAATTATATCGATAATTATAATAATAATTTTACTACGTATAAATATAATAATCTTACTTTATAAAGGTAATAAATAACTATCCGGAATAGTAAAATTATTAAATACCCTTAAATTAATAATTAATTTCCTTTTAGGACGATACTTAGTTTCCTATTAAATAATAAATATAGGATGAATAAAGGGGGTAGTATACTTTACCTAATTTATTTTACCTTATTTATATAAAATATTAAAAACCTTATTAATAACCGTTTAATTTTTTTAGCTTACTAGATATATTTGTATAGCAATTTTATAGTTCTACTACCTATTTACTAAAGAGATTCTTATTATATCTTCTTCCGGAATATTAATTATACCTCCTTCTTTTTAGAACTTCGGGAATTTTTTAATTAACCTTACTAAAAATTTCGATACTCTTTTACTACCTACGAATATATAAACTCCCTCGCTTATAAGAATTTTGGGGGCTTTATTATTTATTTAGATACTAAGAATTAATTATTTGTTTAGTATTTTAGGGAATTCGGGGGTTTCGGGGGCGCTATTAATTAATATAAGCTTATTTATCGAAGTAATATTATTCGTAGGGATAATATTATTAAAATCGATATCGAATTCGATATTGGCTAATATAAAATATATTTAATAAACGGTTTCTACCGCCTCGGCAATAGAGAGGGGGGGGTCGTTCTCCATTATATTTAATATTTTAATAATTATAGTAATTTCGTAAATATTCGGCCAAAACACTACGAAATAACTATCTATATTATATTCTATAATTATACCGATTTTTTACTTTTAGAGAATGGTAATAATTTATTTTATTA